GGTCAATGACATGAGACAAAGTATATGTGAACTGCTGTATGAAAAGTGAATTTACTCTGTAAATCTTCACCCAAATCCTAATAAAAAAAAAAAAATTCTAATAGATTTCAACTGATGAGTTGGTAACAATGACCCTATCTGACAAGTTCATTCTCTATAAAGAAGTCACTTTTTGCCTTTTTGTTGTATGTGTGATTTCAAAATCAAAGCCAAATTTTACAAATTTTTTTTTTAAAAAGTGAGAAGTCATTTATTTATTCATATAATAAATAGTATTTATTTAATAAATATGTACTTAGCATCCACAATGTGCCTGTTCCTCTTCTAGGCTCTAGGGATTGAGACAGGCAGACAAGAGCCCTGCCCTCATGGAGCTTAGACTCCAGTGACTTCAGCATTTACTTGATGTCTTTAACCCTGAATACTGGTGGTATTTCACAATAAAATGGAACTGATTCAAAGAAATTTAATATTTAAATCTCAGCCTCAATTGACCAAATCCAAATGCCCCATGAACTTCAAACCCTACATTTAGTTCTGTCCTAACTCACAGCTTCGAGAACTTCTCCAGCAGTTAGCTTCTTCTTTTATAAGATGAACTCTTGACTACTATAGCAAACAATTCAAAATCTCAGTGACCTGACATAATGAAAGGTTATTTCTTACAAGCATCAGAATACAATGCTAGTTGGGCCTATTCCACCTCACTAATCAGGAACCCAGTTTTTTTCAATCACATAGCTGCAGCATCTTCTAGAGCTTTGTCTTCCTCTGCACTCAGCTTACAGATGAGGAAGGAGAGAAGGCATGGAGGACAGACACTAGTGGCTTGGTTTAATAGGTCAGGCCTGCATGTGACTTCCCTCCCTTCTGTCCACATTTCATCAAAACTCTGTCATGTGACAATACCTAACTGCGCAGAGGCTGGAAGTGTAGACTCGCCATGTGCTCTGGAGAAAGAGGAAATGGCTTTGGTGGACAAAGAGCAGGCTTCTCTGCAATACTTAATCCATAATGCTGTTTGTAGGATTAAATGAGATGATACATACAAGAACCCATAGAAGCCTCTGGATCAATAAATATTGGCCCTGATCTTTTATTACCATACTCTCAAGTAGGTTGAGGCTCATCTCCTCCACTCAGCTCATCTTGGACAGAACAAGAAGGCTGGTTTAGTGATGCCTATCCGCAGGGATAGAAAAAAGCTGCCCACACTCTGTCTCCAACAGATTCCAGATCTTCCTAAGGAATCTTAATCTAGAGTCATGTTAGATACACTTCATGTAATTGAGAGGACTGGGCAAGGAGGAGAGCCCATCTTTCAGGTCACCTTTTCTCATCATAAGCTCATTTTATCATTAAATTTTGCCTGAAGTGTGTGATTTTAAGCCCTGAGAGAAATGAAGAGTCACCAGATTGGCTTGTTCAGATGTGTTCTCCAAGCTGCCATTGAGTGAGTTCTGTTAAACAATGTGAATCAGATCATGTCAGCACCAGTTTTAAATCCTTCAACACTTCACTGGATTTAGAATAAAACTCAAATGCCTTATACAGGGTTGGTTTCCCCCACCCCATACTTCCAGGATCAGCCTCTACCTCCATCTCTAACTTCCCTTCCTATCACTCTTTCCCACTCCTGTTTCATTCATTTATTCATTCAACAGTTATTTACCTAGCTTCTTTTCTAGGCATGTGGGATAAAGGAGTAAAACAAAGTCCTGCCCTCATGGTAGAATGTCACGTGTTAGTGTGAGTCCTATCACAGGTGCCTTCCTTGGACATACTCTCCCTACTTCTATGATTTGATACTTGCTGTTCTCTTTGCCTGGAACAATTTTTCTCCAGCTCTTATCACAGAAGCCTATCTACCCTGTGGTTGTTTTCTATAATAGCACCATGTAGGAACCCTTCATAGCATTTATCAACCTGAAAAATAATTTGGCTCATTTGTGTGCATTTATTATCTATCTGCCTCTACTAGAATATAAGACAAGTATCTTGTTTACCTTATTCACTATTGTATCCTCAACACCTATAAACCAAAAAACAAACCTATTTCCGTCAATTTAATTCCTACTCATAGCAAACCTATAGGCCTGGCATAAAGGAGATGCTCAGTAAATGTCTGTTGAATGAATGAATGAATGAACTAAAGAGCACCAGCTAAGATATCCAGTGAAAGACCTAGGTGTGAGCAAGGTTTGAGCTCCAGTGTCCTTCCTTATAGCCCATGTTCATCTCTGCTCTCTCTGATTGTGGTTTTGTAGGGAATGACACCACTCCACTGGGCAGCTTTCCACAACCAACCTCAACACACGCAAATGCTGCTGAAGAAGGGGGCAGACCCCACTCTTGTGGATAAAGACTTTAAAACAGCTCTCCACTGGGCAGTTCAGGTGAGAAAGTGGCCAAATTAAATGGTATGAAGTAGTGTTAACAATTCTCTGAGTTATGTAAGTTGTAAAAGATTAAACTGTCAAAATGAGAGGCCCCAGCATTGATTTGGAAATCATATGTATGATAGAGAAAGTAAGATTCACTCTGCCCCTCTGTCCCTCTGCCGCTCTTTCGTATCCAGAGGGGCAATAGAAAACCTGTCACTTTGGAGGACTTGTTGAGAAGTAATCCTGTCAAGACACAGAGGGGAGTACTTCTAGAATATTAGTCAAAGCTTGCCCTCTTGGCTATTACATACACACACACATGCACACACACACATACACTTCCGTCACTCTTACTCTTGCTCTCCATTATAATACTCACTCCTGGTTCACAGTGTCCCAAGACAAACTTTATAAGAATCACTGGGAAAATCCCTTTAGAATTTTTGGACCATGACCCTCCCTTCCTTCCAAATCCTCCAAAGCTGGGTCAGTGCAGCTGATCTTGAATTCTGTGTTGAGAAATGAAAACAGTGGCTTGTTATCCTACAACCCTATTCCAGAGGGGAGTCTATATCGGTACACACACCCAAAGGAACCAAAATAGGCCCAAGAAATCTATAGTCCAAAGAGGATAAAACTGAGAATAAAGTGAAAGAATTACAGTACTTACCATATATTAAAGTGCTTTCAATTTTCAAGGGGAATTATTACTAAGAGTTATCTACACCCCTTTCAAGGGTGAGCAGTAATCCTTTCAACAAATGTGCTAGCCCATGCTGACTTTGGATGGCCTCAGCATAGACATGACCACTGTTTATTTCATTAGCCCAGTAGAGACGCCCTTTCTGAACTGCCGCCAAGCTCTTGGGGGCACTAGTTTTTGCCCGTGCTGCCAGTGGTTTCACTCAGGTGTTTCCACATGCCAAGAACAGCAGAGGTGGGCACCTGGGGCTTTCAGGGTTGATGCATGTGTCTGAGGTGAGGAGAAAACAGAAGTGATTTAGAAACTGCTGTTTTTGTCCCTCCAACTTTGGCTTCAGCTACGAGGGCCAGTTCTGCATTAAGCTTGTTTTTGCCATCTCCACCTGCCCTGAGAATGCTCCTACATGCTTTCAGTATCTAAGTGCCTTCCCTGGCCCTCTCACTGCCAGTTTCTGCCCAGGCCCAGTCCCTTGGTGCTACCCTTTGGGTGGCCAGAGGTCTCCGACCATATCAGCATCCCCAGTGCAACTTAGCTAAACTTCCAAGAAGTGCCCCATGTATTTTGGTTCCCAGCTGAGGTAAAAGTGGTATCAGAATCAAACTTTTCTGTCTATTCCCTCTCATCACTCCAAGTCTATAGATCTGGGAGGAGCCCATGTGTGTATATTCTGAAAGCCAGGTAATTTTGACTGACACGCTATCTCTAGTCCCCTTTCCTCTTTTAATCTAGAGGTGCTGCTCTATGCCAGAGGGTTCCAAGCCTGTAGTGCTTGTAAAATGACAGATTCCCAGGCCACACTCCAGACCTTCAGAGTCGGGCTCTACAGAGGTAGGAACCTCTGTTCTTATTATTCTAGAAGTAGTTTGGCAAAGTCTTAAGAAGAACTTACTGAACACAGAAGCTCTGAGTTTGCAGTGACAGCTCTGGATTTGATCTGAGGAAAGTCAGTAATACCTACTTGACTTAACTATCAGTTATTTGACGTCTCAAAGGTCAGTGTCATTGAGGTTTGAATGGTACCAGGCATATGAAAGTACTATGTAATAGGCTGTGTAATTTGAAGAGATTACCATTTTTATTATGGTTCCTAATTTCCTCCAAGAAAACTTAGCTATCACACCCATATCTTCATATTCTTTCTCCCTAATATAGATTTTAGCTGGTTATAGTGATTCTCAACCCTGTCTTCACATTAGAATCACATTAGAATTTTTAAACTATATTGCTGCACTAGCCCCACATCCTCAGTTTCCAATTCCTTTGGTCTGAGTGGAGCCCAAGCATCAATATTTTTTAAAGCTCCCTCTCCCCTCAGGAGATCATAATGTATAACTAGGATTGAGAACCACTGTGATAAACGAATTCACATCAGTGGAGGCTAATACCTTATCTATAGGACCCCTGGTGGTGCAGTGGTTAAGTGCTTGACTGCTAACCAAAGATTGTCAAGTTGAACCACTAGCTTCTCTGTGGGAGAAAGATGTGACAGTCTGCTTCTGTAAAGATTTACAGCCTTGGGAACCCTATGGAAGTTTCTAGTCTGTCCTATAGGGTCTCTATGAGTCAAACTCTGCTCCACAGCAACGGATAATACCTTATCTATTCCTACCTAAGATGGCTGCATAATTTTGTGTATACATAAAGCCTCATCCATTTATTTACTCAATGGCTTAAATATTTCTTAAGCACCTCTATGTGGTACTGGGAGTACAAAGATTAACAAGTCTCTTCTAGAACCTCCATGCAATAGTGTGTGTGTGTGTTTGCAATACTTTTATGGAGTAGAAGTCCACATTTTTCTTTAGTTACTCAGTGAGGATGGGTGACTACCTCAAAAAGGTTAAGAATCATGACTCTAGAGGAATGCTGCACTCTCCCTTCCTTATAGTTTAGCGGTAAAATTTCAGACACAGGGGATTCTGCTGTTTGCACTGCAAAGACTAAGAGTAATTTTAAACGTCTGTTGAAACCTTTATAGTTGCTTTCTTTAGCTTTCTTGTGCATTTATAACATGGGACAAGGTTTGTATTCCCTTTAAGGTTTCAGCACATAAATGGTCTACTTCCCATTGTCATTTATTCCTTTTATTTAATGTCCTCATTTTCTTTTCAACCATGTAATAAGACCACATTTAAATCTATAGCATTTTTTGAAATGATAAAGTCCCTGTATTTGGCCCAGATAACCAAAGCAGTTAAAGATTTGAAATATTGGGCTTTTAAAATAAACTAATTTGACTTCTGCTCTCATTTCTCAGGTCCCACGGTACCTGATGATCCTCTCCAATGCACTCAGCATCCTCTTTCACCCTATCAAACAAGAGACCTCACTGTTGCCTATACCTGGGCCTCTGACACTGAGCAGAGCCCTGTCCCCGTCACAATCTTCCTGTTTGGCATTCCAGTCTGATAAGGGTGTGTTCTCGCCTATCTGTGAGGATACCCGCTAATCTGGAGTTTACACAGGTTTCACTCTCTCCCTCTCTCTCTCTCTCTCTTTCTCTCTCTCTCTCTCTCTTTGTGCCTTATCTCCCTTCCTCAACAGTGAAAACAGATTAGTCAACAATCATTTCATGTGCTCCTTTGGCTTCAACTACCATATAACTCATAAGATCCTCATATCAATAAGTCAATCTCTGATCTCTCTCTTGAACTCTGGACCTACAGTTCCAGCTCTAGTGGGATCTCCCGCACAATATCCACAGACCCTCCAAATTTAAGGTGTTCAAACTGAATCCAAGGGCTCTCCTTCCCGTCGTATTCCTGTCTTCCCTGTAGCCCAAGCCAAAAATCTTAGCATGATCTACAAGTACACCTTCCTTATCACCTTTCACATCCAGTTGACTATCAAACTCACCAAACCAAATTCACTGCCATCCAGTCGATTCTCACTCAAAGCAACCCCCATTGGGTGTCCGAGGCTGTAAATCTTTACGGAAGTAGATTGCTCCATCATCTTTCTGCAGAATGGCTGGTGGGTTTGAACTACTGACCTTCTGATTGGCAGCCAAATGTCTTATCCACTATGCTACCAGAGCTCCTTAGTTGGCTATCAAGACCTCTCAGTTCTAGTACATATGGACCTAAAAGGGCATGGGAGGGAGGTGTTACCAAGATGCAACAAAAGCTGTGGTTGTGAGAGAGGCCCATAGACAAGCCATTATCTTTAGTGGAAGAAACAGCCACTACCAAATTGCAGCTCAGCAGGGAATAAACAGGATACATATCCAACTCTCTCTTTGCTCCCACACCCATCTCCTTTCAGAGTCTCTCATTGACCAGACCCAACCAGAAGCCAAGGATCAAGTGATCCCATTTTATGCAGTTCATAGGATGGTAAAAGACAGAGAGCGGGATGGAAATGATGGACTATAAGTCAGAAAGGGCAACTGGAGATAATTTACATACCCGCCATCACTTTCTTATATCAAGATTCAACCATTTCTCACCCGAACAGTTGCAGTAGCTGGTGTTTCTACTTTGAATTCTTCCCCTCTCTAATCTATTCTCATATCACCACTGAGTTCTCTTTTGTCAAATCACAAAATAATATGCTAACAGACCAGCTATTCCACCAAAATAATTATGATCACTGAGGTTCACAGCTCAAAAATTTCAATGGGTTCTGCTTTTGGTGAAAAGCAAACTCTTTAGATTAACACTTACTGCTGTGAACAATGTCTCTGCACTAATCCACCCCCTGACCTTTCTTTCTCAGTCACACAGTCTCTGCTTTAATCACAATGGAATATTAACAATTTCCCCAACACATCATTAAGTTTCATTCTGTCTCCCCTTTGGTCACATTCTTCCTTTTGAACAAAAATGCTTCTTTCTTCTTACACTCCATGCATTATCCCTTCTCCCTGTAGAATTTCAGCATATTCTTTCTTATTCCTCAAAGCCCAACTAAATGTCACCTTCTCTGTTGAACTCCCTTTCAGAATTTCTTCCTCCATGTTGTCCATCTAGTGCTTTCTCACTGTAGAACTTGTGTTACAATTAGGGGGTAACCTTGTCTTCACTTCTAGACTATGTACTCAAGGACAATGAATGAAGTACATGCTGTTAAGCATCTAATTGTCTCTCAAGACTCAGAACAGAGCTTTTTAAATTTTTTTTTTTTAAGAGTTTGTTTTACATTCAACATTGCGTGTACATTTAGTTTCACTCCCCATTTACCATCCCCAACCTTAACCCAGTCTCCTCCCCTCCCTGCCCAGTAAACCCCTCTCCCCATGCCCCTCATAGTTATGCACTCCTGTGTGTCCTGAATTTCCTCCTTGCGAATATTGCCCCTCTGGTGCCCC